AGTAAAGTCCAAAGCTGCAAACTATCAGGTCTCCTCGCCATCTGCTCCACCAGGTTCTGTTTGCTCCATGTAGCTGCCAGTTTAGGTAGATGCTCATCTTTACAGTGTTCTTACAATCTTGTGACTTAAGTGTTCCACAAGACCTGAATTTAGCTTCCAGTGTTTTATGTAATAAATATAATTTTGGACATACTAATGGGATCAGCCTTTGAACTTTTATTTATGTGCTCTCTTAATTATTTCTTGTTTAAAACCAGGAATTTGCCTTGCAGGAACCATTTTGCAATTGCCTGTGTGATTCAGACCTCTGTTTCTGTTCATTGGTATCACATTCCAGTGCCATCAGCCTCTGTTTGATAAGTGATGCAGATAATATTTTTTATATATATCAACAGATACATCATGATTACTTGTCAACACATATTCTGTTATCAGCTGTAGAAAAATATAAAAAATTCAGAGCTCAACTAACTAACTGAACTAACTATGGGATATTTTATAGAAAAGAGTATTTACCTATTTTAATATATTTCTTCTCCTGAGGAGTTAGAAGTTCACTTTTACTAAGTCTGATGTGTTAGCTGTACTGCTGTCGGAACAATCTTTATGAATTTCTTGATTTGTAAATCAGAGTTCAAATCCGGAAGACAATATGTCTTTTAAAAGTCTCTCTTTGGGGTTTATTTTATAACCAGCATATCTGGTCAGCCCCTGTCCAAGACAATTACAGAGAAATGGTTGTCTTTGTGCACTTCTCATTGTTATTCACTGGCAGGATAGTCATCAGAGGGTCACATTAAAGTTCATTCAATCAAAGCTGTGGCAGTAGCAATAGTCTGCCTCAGGTCAATTCCCTCTCTTGGGATTTGTAGGGCACTACCTGAAGTTATTTGCGTAATTTTATGTAGCATTAGTGTCTTGATACTTTGTAGCAAAGATTTCAAAGGCAACAAATCTGTATCTAGTGTTCTACTCCAATGACAATCCAATTATCTTTCCTCTTACTGTGTTATTGTAACCATTTTTATGTATCCTCTGGTATCTTCTAAATTCATTTGCACTTAGCTGTAATCTCTATATAATGTGTACTGTTATCTTTATGTTGGTTGTTATAATCAGGTTTTGTATTTCTCTGTCCACGTAGTTATTTGTTATGTACCTGTAATCATCGTTGGAACCTCTGCCTTTTACTTTTGAAATAATCTTTAAAAGCACTCCCTTCTGCTGCAATAGATAAACCATAGGCAAGAAGTATTTGCTTTTCTTCAATGACAGTAAAGGGATCTTTGGCAACCCATACCTATATCTAAATTGGTTAGTTTGGGTGAATCCCAACTGTGTCTTGATTTTTTTTCAATCTATGCATATGTACAGATGTGTTTAAATATACAGAGATTTATGTGTGCACATACACAGATAGATACACATATATTAAGGCCAAATCAGTTCTGTTACTTCCATTGCAGTATCATTTGCAGATATTTTTATGAGGCTATTTTACCACAATATTCTTCATTTCTAATGCATGAATAAGCTTTATATGATGTACATTCCTGCATATTCTGCAGAAGTACCTAAAAGGTACTTTTTTTGGCCTGAGGGGGGAACAAAAAGCATGAAAACTCACATCCATGAAGAGTGTTCAGATCAGGAATATATGAAGTCTATATGTAGATAATTACTCCTCTCAAAGCCAAATTTCCAAACTTAAACTGATGTTTTGGTATCAAACCTTAAATACAAATGAAAGCATGAGCTTATAACATAAATGTAATTTCTGGGGTATTTCTATTTTGGGGATTCTAAAGAGACTGTGAAGCATTCTTATTTCTTGGAAGAGGTATTATTTAAAATACTAAAAATGGAAATGTATGTAACACAAACTAGTTCAAAAATCATAATTTTATATATTTTGATGAGAATTATTAAAAAGGTAGAAATATGAGGTACTACTTCATGGAGGAAAAACTGCGAGAAAATAAATAGAACAGCAAAATAATAGCTAAAAAGGCTAAAGCAATGAAAAGTAATTTTTAGCATTAAAGAAGGTAAATTAACTTGTAAATCAAAAGACAAAACCGGAGACTGTTCAAGAATGAGGAAAAAACATTTCAGCTTGATTTCAGAAAATTAAGCATGGAAAATATAGGCAATATTCTCCAAAATGGCTGGAATAGGTAAAGATGAGGGAGAAACAAATACTAGACAAATCTTTTGAAGACTGCAACATGATTAGTTGGTAACAGAATATTTTCAGAAGGCAGAATAAAGTTCTTACAGTGTTGTGCAATGCACTAGAAAGCTTTATCAAGATGTTCTGAAGTCAAAGAACTTAGTCATAGAATCACAGAATCATAGAATGGTTTGGGTTGGAAAGCACCTTAAGCTCATCTAGTTCCAATCCCCCAGCCATGGGCCAGGATGCCTCACACTAGGTAATGCCATTCAAGGCTCTTTCCAGCCTGGCCTTGGACACTGCCAGGGATGGAGCATTTACCACTTCCTTGGGCAACCTGTTCCAGTGCCTCACCACCCTCACAGTAAAGAACTTCTTCCTTATATCTAGCCTTCTCCCCCCGTTTAAACTTGGACCTGTTACCTCTTGTCCTATCACTACAATCATGACAACAGACAGAATAGGAGACTATTACTTCCTATTATACAATACAGAATTTGTTATTTTTACTTTGGGGACAAGAGATGCTAGAATGAGGCTGAGGAAACACTTTCTTGTGTGGTTTAGTGATACATTCCAAGCATTGAGTAATTGTGGCTGTTTGTTCCAAACAATAGAAGTGACTTGCACCAATGATTGATAGAATTTACAGTCAGGAAGTCTTTTTTGAAAGCTGGATTTTCCCCAATTCTTCCTGCAGATAACAAAGACCAGAATTTAACTGCTTCTTCAAGACTTTTCTTCAAGACTTTTCTTCAAGACTTTTCTTCAAGACTTTTCTTCAAGACTTTTCCACAAACTTGTTTTGATACAGTATCATAATTTTAAAACACTTAGAGAAGATAATGACTTTGAGTGAGATCTTGCCTGTACTGAAATATTGTTTTTTTCCTCTTGATTTCTGTGTGGTGCTCAATAGCCAGGTGTTTCTTTTCCCCCTTTTCTCTTTGTTGAGCAAAGCTTACAAATTGCAGAACTCTCGAAAGAAAAGCCATGCTATTCACACATCTAGTTGAACCAGTCTCTTACCTGCTGCAAGACTCGTGCTTCTTAACAACATCTTTACCCAACTACATGAAAAAGCAGTTCGGCTTACATTCATTTAGCAGCCACAAACACAATAAATAGCAAATCAAAGCTTCCATGGAATTTTAGCTAATTATTCTCTATTTACATCTGATACAAGCAGAGTGTTGAAAGAAAATCTTAGTTCAGCTAGCGATAAATTTAGCTGTGAAATATTGAGGTTTATGTTTCTCATGGTTTAAGCCCAGACAGTAACTCAGAACCATGCAGCCGCTCACCTACTCCCCCCTCTTCTTCCTAACCCTGCTCCCGGAGGGATGGGGAAGAGAATTGAAAGAATGTAACTCCCACAGGTTTAGATAAGAACAGTCCAGTAACTAAGGTATAACACAAAACCACTGTTACTACCACCAACAATAATAATGAGAAAGGAAATATCAAGGGAAGAGAATATAACCACTCATCACCTGCCAACTGATACCCAGCCTGACTCAAGCAGTGATCTAGCCCTTCTGAGTGACTGCCCCCAGCTTATGTACTGGGCATGACGTGCTGTGGTATGGAATACCTCTTTGGCTAGTTTGCATCAGGTGTCCTGTGTCTGCTTCCTTCTGGCTTCCCCTCCTCCCTGGCAGTGCATGAGACTCAGAAAGTCCTTGGTGAGAGTAAACATTACTGAGCAACAACTAAAAACATTGGTGTTATCAGCGCTGTTCCCAGGCTGAAAGTCAAAATCACAGCACTGCACCAGCTACTAAGAAGGAGAAAATGACTGCCACTGCTGAACCAAGGACAATGCTGTACTTTATCTTACAGATTCTTCAGTATATGTAGGGAACATATATTTCAAATCCTCCTTAGGGATAAGATACTGTAAGAGTTGTCACATAAGTTTTAGATCTCTACTCCAAATTAATATAGTTTTGGAATAATTCAAAGAAGATTTTTTTTTGTGGATTTTTTTAAGGTGCTTTTCTGAGAGAAATAATTCTATGGGAGCTCTCATTCTGAAATTTTAAATTGTGAATGATATATTTATTGATAAGTTTGTAATGTTACTTAGATTTGTGACTTGCATTTGTTGTATAAATTTTAACATTAGTGTGTGTTCATTTTGCTGTCTGAGATGATAAAGAGCAGGATAAGGTTTTTTCTTCAGATCATAAAGGAGTCTCCCCTATTTTTCACACTTGTTCTGAGAGCAATACCTAGTGACCTGTCTTTTTCACAGCAAGGTGTAAAATTTATTTGTCCTTAATTTCTGAGGATGATAAAAATGGGAATATAAATGAAAGCAGTAAGACTTAGAAGAAAGACTTTCTTTAAACATTTTAAATTGTATGAATTAATGGGTTTTGATTGCAGACTGATCTATTTGTCTCTTTATCTCCATCACCATAGTCACTCCCTTAGACTTGTTTTGAATGCTCTCAGTTTCTTTTCAGGTTTAAGGGGCTCAGACAAACACTTCCCTGGAAGTGACTGTGTACTTTTTTTGCTCACTGTGGCTTCTTTATCTTATTTAGGTTCTACGTGTTTTATTGAACTGAATTTTGGTTTTGCATACAGAAATAAGAGCAATTTATTGTGGTTTTGTAAAGTTCTCAGTTCTGCCTAATCTGTGAGGTTATCATTCTCCCCTTATATTTCTTTGAGTGGACATGTAGGAGAACTTGGCATTTGAGTGGTGGAAATACAAATAGGTCTTCATTTTCATTACATAATTATTGCTGTAATTTGTAAAATTTCTGAAAGCTGATGATAATCTAACATTTTGATTGTATTTTTTTTCTTGAAGGGCACTATGAGGAGGTGTATGATAACCAGCTTAACTTGGCCTACTATTTCAATGACCCTGAGGACAAGTGGTTAAGTAATTACTTTCATGAGGGATGCTTTAACACTGCTAAACTAATAACAACTGATATCAGGAAAAGAGAGGCACAAGCACATGCAAATATGGGCCTCATCAAAGAGGAACAAGGTAAGTCACTGAGGTCATAAAGCTACATTTTACCAGTATTTTAGACAGCCATCTTTGATTTGCAACCATAATTTGGTTTTAAAAATGTTACAATTTTAATTTTTGGAGCTGCAAATAGGAAGACAGAAAAATCTGTCATTATTCACAGATCTGTTTCCTCTGACATTCCATCTACTGTTGAGAGTACTCCATCAGATGAAAAACAAAACACAAGTTTAAAGGATGCATTTGTTCACTGCAAAGTTTTTTTGGGTTTGACCTTACTTCATTTTGCTTGTTTTTGACGAGATTCGTAATGCTGCCTCAGGCCATCAGTGTTTGAATAGAATGGCATCTGTGGTTGCACAAACTGAGTTGATTTAAGAGGTATAAATGAGTAGTTCAGTTTAATCCGGCCTCCAACTTACACTTGGATAAAATGGCCTATATTTTTTGTGTCCTATTTTAAAACTACCTTCTGGTAGTTTGACTGAAAAAGGCACCCTGTTTGTTGGTACACGACTGCCACACTGGTGTTTGCTTCAGATTTATATCTTACCACAAGCTCCTTTCCTCCATTCATTAATCTGTATCCTCAAACTGTGAGACTCTGAAATTAGAAAAGATATTAACAGAAGTAATTAGAATCATAGAACAGCCTAGGCTGGAAGAGTTCTCTGGCCCAAACTTTCATGGGAAAGACTGCCAAGATGAGATTGTTTTAGGCACCTTGTCAAACCACATCTTGAAAAGCTCCAGTAATGGGGACCCTACCACATCCCTGGGGAGGCTGTTCCAGTGAATTATTGCTCTCACTGTAAATACTACTTTCTTATATCAAGATGAACCTTGTTTCTATGTTTAAAAACATATACATTATCTTTCACGGCTGAAGGCTTTGTGTGTGTATAGTAGTCTGGGTATAAAAAAAAGTGTTATCCTGTATTTTTATTACATCCTTTCATGTTGTAGAAAGACAAGCAGTGACCGACCCTCAAGTAACTGAACAAAATCTCTTTCAGTTTTAATTCCAAAGTGTAGTGGAGGCCTAACCATTGCTTAAAATATATATGATTTGTATAGTTATCACAGTTTTAAGTTTGTATTTGTGGGTTGAAACTATTCCAACTCTGAGCTCAGTTTGTGGCTGGTTTCTCAAATAGAATGGCTTTTCTTAAGAGAGAAGATTCACAGAAATTATTATTTTTTTTTTAATAGTGCAATTCCTGTAAATATCTGACAGAATGGGTGTGTCTTGAAAGATGGGCTAATTTCCTAACAGAAACCTGGACATAAAACATGTCTCCCCTTCCTCCTCTCCTCCTTCACATCCCCTTCCCTCCCTGCCCCCCACACCCTTAAGAGGTGATTGTCCTGGGTTATTTTTCTCATCTTCTTTTGTAGTTGAAATATCACACTTTTTTTTCAGTATGTCCTCATATTTTCTAGGCTGCTGGTCATTCACACTGTTTTCCTCTGAATTGTTGCCATATCTGTCTTGCCTGCAACACCCAGAGCTGAAGTCAGTTTTAAAATTTGGGTTCCTATCAATGATAAAAAAACCACTTGTTTTTCTTACAAGTGGTTTTATTTCTGCTGTCAAGTATGACATTCACATTCTTTATTTCAACTTAAATTGCATACTCATATTCAGTTCATGACCTTCAATAATTTCTAAATTCTTTTCTGAAGAACCATTAACCAGCTATTCTTTCTCCATTCTGAGATCAGCAGTTACGTCTGCCAGAATGCAATATGTTGTTTTCTTTTTGCATGGGGTACCATCCTGTGTTTTGTAGGCAGTTTCTAGAAATTGTCAATATTGCTTTGAATTCTGAATTGTTCTTCAGCATGCTTTCTCTTTTTCCTACTTTGGTATTATTTGAACATTTTAAAAGCATCTTCTATCCTGTAATTCAGATCCTTAAAGAAAATGATAAGTAATACACTGGAGTTCCACTTAAGTAGTTCTAATGAACTACTTATAACCAATATCTATATGGGATTTCCTAACTAGTTTGCACTCACCTAACAATAATTGCAGGTGAACTACGCTTCCTTCATGCTTTACAAGGAAGTTATATTATAGAAATTATTGTTACTATATAGGAGTTATATTTACAAGAAAGTTATAGTCGAAGTGAGAAAGAATTTACTAACTTAAATAGAAGATTGGTTTGATGACATAAGCTCTTGACGTATTGGAGTTGGCTATAATATTTTCATGTTTTCTTTAAATGCTTGGGAATAGTCTGTTTGAATATGTATTTATTCCAGTATTGTTTTAGGAATTTGTTAAGCTAAATCCAGTTTTCCAGTAGATAAGGTAGAGCCTGCTTAAAGCCCATTCAGTCACAACCAAGTTATCTTCATTTTGAGTGAAAAATGCTCAATTAGCTTATCTGTCTGATGATCAGTAGGATAAAATTGTTGAACTTGATGGTTCAATTTGTTTTGGGTTTTTGCAGCTTTTTCACTTGGTCCTTCAGTTACTAAAAAATAAAATTATGAGAATGCACATAAAAGCAAACATCCCTATCTTTTTGCATCTTTAAAGGCTTATACTAACTGTGTCTCACTACTGTTATACAACCACTGCCAAAAAAAAAAAATCAGCATTTCCTAGTTCTATGACGTGTTAAGCAAAAGTTGCTGAACACTTACATATATTTAAGCCCATTACAAAAACCAATCAGTATAGTTATGAAATACACTTTGAGATGCTCAGAGAAGGGTGAATTTCATTTTCCTGCTGTAAAATATTAGAAACTTCCAGATGAGAAGCTTATTATTAACATTGGTAGGAAGAGACAAAGCAAAATGCTTTTTCACTGCCCAGGGTAAAGCGCCACTATATAGTAGGATCTGTCCTTTGCAAATGTTTCTTTCCAGAAGGAGAGAAAGGAAAAAAAAAAAAAAAAGGAAGAAGCTGAAAGAGTAAGCATAGGATTTGTTTTGAGGGACTACTGAGTAAAAGACAGCAGATGTATTCCATGCACTCTTTATTTTCAGTGGGTGAAAAATTAAATCACAAGTTCTGTTTGAAGAAAAGGTGTAAGAGCAGGTGTTGAGTTGGCATTGTATAAAATTGCGTAAGTATTTATGGTGTTATAAGTAAAATTCTAAACATGCTAATTTTAATATTAGGGCAGATGGATATAGTTTGTAAATTGGTCTTCTTTTTTTTCAGTTATTTATAATTATGTAATCTAATTATCTTATTAACTGAATGAGTCAGATGCTCACTTCCTATGGATGTGTATATACATATACATACAGGAATAGATATGCATGTATAGAGAGGTATGTGTGCATTAATATATACATATACAAATATGTATTTGTACCTATATTCCTCAAGGAACCTGGCCTAGTGGATGGTGTCCCTGCCCATGGCAGGCAGTTTGGAACTAGAGGTTGGAAATAGACCTTTAAGGTCCCTTCCAAATCTAGCCATTCTATGATTCTATATAAATACAAGGATATCTCTGTAGGTATGTGAATGACGCCTAACACTTACATGATACTTCGATGTGATTTAAATCATCATATCTATATTAACTTCATTGATTAATAGTGCAGCCAGGAAGACAGGAAAATCTGCAGGAAAACAAAGTTAGTCTATTGTTCATATGTGCATGTTTTTAACTCGAAATATCTCGTACGAGTTTTTTTCAGTTCTGTCACCAACACTGTATTTTTTATTACTTGTGTATGGAAGCTGTCTATATTTGCTTAGGACTGATTGCTTGTGAATATAAAGTTAAACATGTACTTGTAAAGGTTGTTGCTTGCCTTAGAAGCGAATCAATAAATTTGCTGGGTAATATTTGTGTAATCAAATTTAAAGTTCTTTGACTTTCAGCCTGGTCCCTGTCCTAAAGGCTGGATATAATCTGATGTTCATTAATCTTCAAAGATAAATATTTGAGAAGTCAGCACTGTAGACTTCAGTGGGGGTATTTGGATGCAGGTGATTATGGCTGTCAGTACAGAAGGGAAAGAAAAGACTAATAATTTGGTAGCCTTGTATAGGCACAAATGGAGCATTTGGCTTGAAGCAAACATTATATTAGTGATATTTCTTTACAGAATGAGATTTTAACTTCTTCAAAAAAAACCTGTTTGTTAAATCATAGAATCATAGAATAGTTAGGGCTGGAAAGGACCTTAAGATCATCTAGTTCCAACCCCGCTGCCATGGGCAGGGACACCTCCCACTAAACCATGGCACTCAAGGCTTCGTCCACCCTGGCCTTGAACCCTGCCAGGGATGGGGCATTCACAACCTCCCTGGGCAACCGATTCCAGTGCCTCACCACCCTAACAGTAAAGAACTTCTTCCTTATATCCAATCTAAACTTCCCCTGTTTAAGTTTTAACCCATTACCCCTTGACCTATCACTACAGTCCCCAGTGAAGAGTCCCTCCCCAGCATCCCTATAGGCCCCCTTCAGATACTGGAAGGCTGCTATGAGGTCTCCACACAGCCTTCTCTTCTCCAGGCTGAACAGCCCCAACTTTCTCAGCCTATCTTCATACGGGAGGTGCTCCAGTCCCCTGATCATTCTCGTGGCCCTCCTCTGGACTTGTTCCAACAGTTCCATGTCCTTTTTATGTTGAGGACACCAGAACTGCACACAATACTCCAAGTGAGGTCTCACAAGAGCAGAGTAGAGGGGCAGGATCACCTCCTTCGACCTGCTGGTCACACTCCCTTTCATGCAGCTCAGGATATGGATGGCTTTCTGGGCTGCGAGCACACACTGCCAGCTCATGTTCATTTTGTCATTGAGCAACACCCCCAAGTCCTCCGCAGGGCTACTCTGAGTCTCTTCTCTGCCCAACCTGTAGCTGTGTCTGGGATTGCTCCGACCCAGGTGTAGGACCTTGCACTTGGCATGGTTAAACTTCATGAGGTTGGCATCAGCCCATCTCACAAGCATGTCAAGGTCCCTCTGGATGGCATTCCTTCCCTCCAGCTTATCAACCGAACCACACAGCTTGGTGTCATTGGCAAA